GGTACCCACCTTGAGCCCACGTGGGCCAGCCCAGGTGGGCCCCACCATTTACCCAGGGACAAATTTATGTGGGCCCCACATGGGCTGCCCACATGGGTCCCACCAAGTGGCCCACCTGGGCCCCATGTGGGGCCAAGGTAATAATGTTGGCTGGGTATGGGTCCCAGCTGGGTCCCATTTCGAACCCACATGGGCTCCAGGTGGGATTTTTCGCTTATACCCATTTGGGTCCCGGCTGGGAAAGCCCATATGGGACCCGGCTGGGCCCCATATGGGTCCAATGTCGAACGCACATGGCCCCATGTGGGATTTTTCGCTTATACCCATGTGGGTCCCGGCTGGGAAAGCCCATGTGGGACCCATATGTGCCCCGGCTGGACCCCATTTGGGTCCCATTTCGAACCCACATGGGCCCCATGTGGGATTTTTCGCTTATATCCATGTGGGTCCCGGCTGGGAAAGCCCATGTGGGACCCATATGTGCCCCGGCTGGGCCCCATATGGGTCCCATTTCGAACCCACATGAGCCCCATGTGGGATTTTTCGCTTATACCCATGTGGGTCCCGGCTGGGAAAGCCCATGTGGGACCCATATGTGCCCCGGCTGGGCCCCATATGGGGCCATCTGGGCTGCCCATATGGGACCCAGTTGGACGCCCATGACAAACACATCTGGGCCCCAAGTGGGCAGCCCAGATGGGCCCCAGTTTGCTGCCCACTTGGGGCCCATATGGGCCCCATTTGGGAAGGCTGGCTGGGTATTGAATGTAGCATTTGGAAAAGTAAACCGGACAAAATATCTCCTTAAGAAAGTGGCCTTAAAGAGGAAAACATCCCATTGTTAAGGATAGGTGCAATTGACCCCATGGGCTGGTTCAATTGACCCTCGCATCGGGGTCATTTGAAACGGGCGTAGAGCTGTTTTCTAAGCATGCGTTTGGCAGCAAAATATGTTTGAAACATAATTTTACATATCTTAAAATAAAGCCAAAAGAGCATATTTTTTCATGGCATTGTGCATTTTTCGATATGACAACTAGATCTCGCTGTGCATGTCAATATATAAAAAGTGGTTCAACTGGCCCCGCTCTCCCCTACCTATTTAACTCGCAGTGATAGTAGAGCGATGCAAATACCTTACGTTTAGCCTCTGGGGGTTAAATCGTTGACCCTAAGTCAAATCTGAGGACAGTCTACACAGAAAGCTAGCGTTAAAAAGGCTATCGATTGCGCTTTTCCGTGACGCTAGCTATAGCCTATAGGTTGTATGAGTTATGTTATATTCGACGTTTATCTGAAGGTTATGTTCATGTTGCTTTATGTTTATGGTGTATATCTGATTATGTTATAAGAGATGGTGCCTAGTAGTGATGTCAATCGGATACCAACATTTTGGTATACCGATACCAAACCGATACCAACTTGGTATTTGGTATTTCAATCCTAATATGTTTGGTATTTTGTTGGTATTATAAACCCTCACTAACCCGCGCCCTGGTGGGGTCTGTTTATAACGCGACCTGGTGGGGGGGGCTATTTTTTGCCCCCCTCGTATCTCCGAAACTACTGGACGGATCCGCAAAATTCAAACGGCGTTCGAAAGGCCTGTCAAATTTGTCGAGGGAAACCAAATTTCATTGACCTCGGGGTCACCGATGACGTCACAGGTCAGGTCAAAGATGAAATGTTTCACCGTTCACGGGGCTTCTAGGGAATGCGCTATAACACCGAGGAAAACGCATTTTGTCAAGAATCAGCGATAGGGCGTCAGTTGCCTAGTAGATATGTTGCTATTAGAGGTCACTGACAATACCAGGTCACGTCACAGGTCAGGTCACCAAGGGTCACAGGTCAGGTCACTGAGCCCAACTTCACTAAGGTTGTGTAATGCATGTTTTATGGCCAATTTTTCATTTCCAACTCAATGGTGTTGGTTATAAGACTATCAGGTACGGCTTAGGTCACTTTCTGGTGAAGTTCAGGTCAAGGTCAGGTCAAGGTCAGGCCAAAAAAGGTCAAATTTTAAAGTTGATAGTTTTGCATAAAATGGGTATTGATTCGATGCGGCTCGTCACGGGGAGTCTAATGGTGGTCTTTGTTTTGCGCTACGTGGTCTAGAATTGCTAAAAATTGAGTTTGAAAATTTGATGTCATCAATTTTTAACAGTTTTTTCGCTATAACTTCGCCAAAAAAAGAGGTATCAATCTCAAATTTGGTATGTGGATGTAAGGTGGTATGGACTATCACATATATTCCGGTTTTTGCGAAATTCAAAAAACTTTTTGGATTTTTAGATCATTATATCCAAAAAAATTGATTTTTTGATTTTTGGGGGTCAAAATCCAAAAATTTCAAAAATCCGAGATAGCAGTTTTGTAGCCCTGTTAATTCTACAGCTTTTATGTCCGTATCATTTTTCTGTATTTGCAAAGCTATAGGCCTGAGGACAGCTCTTCCCGTGAAACCCTTTTTTGGGTCGAAAACGGCAGAACATGACGTCACTCTGACGTCATTTCCGGCCAACCTATCATAGCCTTTGGAATTTTTTTTTGTCACCATATGTAAAATTGATGTCCGGGAGGGTACTGAAAGTTTGGTGACGATCGGCGCAGCGGTTCTGGAGATATATCGAAAAGTCTGGAGGGGGGGCAAAAAATAGCCCCCCCCACGGTTCGTCGGAAGGTCATCTCAGGCTCAAAAGAAACGATATATACCATTCGAAAGCTGAATCCAAAAATGTAATTTTTATCAAAATCGATCGATGGCCTTTTTTGAAAATTGCGTTTTTGTAAAAACTTAATAATCTTTTATTCAACGGGCTGTCCCGGACATTCTTGAAAACATAAAAAATATATTTTTGAGTTCCAGTGAAAGCTGAACGCCAAAAGAACAATATTTAGCGAAACAATATTTCCAAACATTAATATGCGTCTCCCACAGCCGACAATAAGGCGCAATCACACAGTTCAGTGTCACGATGGACCAAAGTCAGCCACAAAAAAGCGCGAAATGACCCTTATCGATTCACAGACCCGGCGCTCTCGGCCCGCCTGACCGGCCACGGAAAGAACGTTCGGCTCTCGTTCTAATAAACAAATGTCATATTTGTCAGTTTAACTGTCCACATCGCTATAAAAGTTATTCAGGATACCTGTGAAGAAAATTCATTGTTCTGTCATCTTCACATCATGCATTAATTTGCATTTGTTCATGTCTGCTTTGCTCAATTGAGCTTGGTATCATGCCCATATAAGGAAAATTGGCCGCGCTGAAATGTCAGAGGTTGCACCGGCCTCAGCTCGGGTGGAGTGGGGGTAGCGCCCGGCGGGGCAGGGTAACCTTTGACCGGTCGCACGGCCGAGCAGCTGTCACCAGTACAGCCTCTGACAGTGAAACCCCGCTCACTTCCCCTGCGCGGGCACTGATCGCAGCTGGATGGAACAAAACATGTATAAGAAAAATGTAAATTAAAGAACGTTGTAAATGAAGCAGAACAATGAATTTTCTTCACAGGTATCCTGAATAACTTTAATAGCGATGTGGACAGTTAAACTGACAAATTCAACACTTGTTTAACAGGACGAGACTCGAACGTTTCTTCCGTGGCCGGTCAGGCGGGCCGAGAGCGCCGGGTCTGCGAGTCGATAAGGGTCATTTCACGCTTCTTTGTGGCTGACTTTGGTCCATCGTGACACTGAGCTGTGTGATTGCGCCTTATTGTCGGCTGTGGGAGACGCATATTAATGTTTGGAAATATTGCTTCGCTAAATATTGTTCTTTTGGCGTTCAGCTTTCACTGGAACTCAAAAATTACATGTTTATGTTTTCAAGAATGTCCGGGACAGCCCGTTGAATAAAATATTATTAAGTTTTTACAAAAACGCAATTTTCAAAAAAGGCCATCGATCGATTTTGATAAAAAATACATATTTGGATTCAGCTCACCGTCAGCTTTCGAATGGTATATACCGTTTCTTTTGAGCCTGAGATGACCTTCCGACGAACCGTGCCCCCCACCAGGTCGCGGGCTAATGTACAAGAGGCTGAGAAATTGGCAGTGGTTTCCGCATGCGATAGGATGAGAGATAAACGATAAACGATAATTATCGCTGTTAATAAAGGGACTATCCCACCTTCGAAAAAATCCCGTTTAGGATTCGGAAATGTTACTTAGGGCGTTGTGACGAATTCTGCAAGTTTTTACGCGTTTTCATTGTATACTTTTTGAAATATTGCGACTTTTATATTTCATCGTGACGTCATTTAGATCGGATCTGTGACGTAATGAAGGATTTACTTCATGCCAATGAAGGGGGAAATTTGGCAGCAAATATATATGCTTTCAAATACGACGCGGCTCATACAATAACAAAAGTGTCTCTGATTGGGCATTTTGTGGTTGGTGGTATGATAGTCAAATGTAAGTATGTTTGACTTCCTGCATGTAAAATTCAAATACTAACATCACAATTCACATAGGAAAAGAACATATTTTCACCATAACTTAAAAAATTTGTGTCAATTTGGAATGCAATTGAAGTGAACAAGTGTGAAATTTGAATGAAAATAACCAACATTCCTGACCTAACCTTACCTACTTTCCTAAAAAGTTTGTAATACCCTTAATACCAACTTAAAACCCCCATGCCAGATGTCTACAACATACAAACCTTTCAACCAGACTACTACAGTAACACCTCACAACCTATTCCATTCTGAACCTATTGATTGGGATTTTTGTATACCTACTTTTACTCATTGCATCCTAGCTTGCTATTATAGCAAACATGCAGGTATTTAAAGAAATGTTTTGTTTTTCCTTCTTAGCTGTTGAAATTTCTTGAATGCCAACACAACACAACACACCATGCGCACATGACAGAGGTCTCCGTCACTGCGGAAGGAAGATCGCAATGCTGCTTGCAGGCTGTTGACAGAAAGTGATCAGTAAGTTATGACCCTATGCATAATGCTACAATTATTTTTTTTTGTATGCAGGTAGTTGGTCAGAGATTGAACATGTCTCAGCATCATATATTTGAATGCTGATAATTATGTATACGAGCATTGACCAATCAATTGAAACTAGAAAAGTAGATAAAAGCTTAACAAAATGGATTGGTGAAGATTAGATTGCCTATATAAAGCATGCAATGTTGACTACATAACATACTGCATAAAATGTAGTCTGTTCCAATGTTTGCGCCTATGGTCAAAGCTGCTTCTTCAATTTGCTTCTTCGTTCAATGTAGGGATGTAGCCAAGGGGGTGGCCACGGGTGTCATGGTCTCCCCCAAAGGCGAGAAATTAAATAAAATAAAATAAAGATAAATAAAAACAGCTGTACCATACCCCTAAAAATAGTGGGCCAAATCTGAGTTTTCCTTTTTTGGAGGGGGTACGACACTAGGCCGCGACCCGTGGCCCCTCCCTCAGTAAAATCTTGGCTATGGCTCAATAATTTGAGTCTATGCTTTATGTCTATGACTATTCTATACAGGAGCTATGCAATCCTGTTTTCTTTCTAGGTTCATGCTGTTCTGAGGTGAAACATTTTCCTGGCATGGTGGCACTTTGTCAGTGTGGGGCGAGGTAGGCATCCACTGTGATGTGGCTGACCCTGTCGGCTCCCACTCCCCCTCTGACCCGGCCATGCGTCCCGCCAGGTTGTCGTGTTCCGCCAGCTGCTGCGCCGGGGTTGGCAGCGCACAGCCGCTACCAGCTGACACGCCGACCGGTGCGCGGCGCGCGTGCGCCGGGCGCCGACGGCCGTCGTCTGGCAGCAACAGCGCTGCCAGTGACTCGCGCTGCTGCTGCAGAAACTGGGCAAGGATCGTAGAATCCTGGCGTGTTTTTGTAACGTCCATTAGAGTGATTTAGACGCAGCGTGTAGAAAGGACTCGTTTATTGACGTGTGACTTTCTGACAGCTCAGTCACCTGTTGACGGCGGCGCACAGCGTCACCTACCCGCCCTACAGCCGCCCAGCAGGGTGAGTAGTGAGTACCAATACCCGCCCTGCAGCCGGCCCCAGCAGGGTGAGTAGTGTGTACTGAGTAGCGCTCAGTGTTAGCTTGAAGTTGTTTAACATGATGCACTGTTTTTCATGAGTCGTCCCCATCGCTGCTTGTGACTTGCAAGTTCCTTCTTTTTCGGCAGTGCGTCCCAATTATATCAGCGATTTTCACCTCTGAGAAGTGTAGTTGCCGTACTAGTGAAAAAGCGTGTATCTTTGAAATAAACATTCCGTTTCATCTGCCCACTACCACTAACGCCCCTCTGCCCTCTCCTGCAGCGGACGGGGAGACCCACCTGACCGCCCCTTCCCCTTGTTTTGCTGCAGGCGGGGAGGCCCGCCCTGACCTTCTCCTCTACCCTCTGCCCTCTCCCGCAGCGGACGGAGAGGCCCGCCCAGGCCCAGTGCCGCACGGAGAGGCGGCGGCGCTGGAGGCCAACACCCCATCTCGCGGCCTGTAGCTGACGGTGCTGGAGCCGCGAGTCACCGTGGTGGCTGGCCATGGAGACTTGGGGAAAAGGTGGGTCTCCGCACAGCGGAGGAAGGGGCGGCGGCTGACAGTGGTGGCCGCCAACGGGGAGCTGGGCGGCGTGGGTCCGTGCATAGCGGGGATGTTCGAAAGGGCAGCATCAGCTGCATTGTTTGAAGAGCTGCTGCAGTTAGGCGTTGAGATATGATCGCAGACTTGCAAGGAGATGGGCTCCTGAGATGCGTGCTTTTTTTGCTCCGATGATCCGGCTGATCGCTGTTGATCTATGGGGTCGCATCACCCGCCCACGGTCACCAGGCCGGGGAGGTATATACGTCTACAGCAGCTGTGTTATTTGTCTGTCCCGGTTGTATCACCCAGTCCTCCCCCGTCCCCAGGCCGGTGAGGTGCGTCTCCCAGCATTGCTGGTGTATTGTTTATCTGTCCCGGATCCCCCGTCCTCAGGCCGGTGAGGTGCGTCTCCAGCTGCGCTGTCAGACGATCCAGTGGAACGAGCAGCAGCCCATGTACCCGTCCCGGCTGTGCCGGTGTGTCTCCCAGCTTGAGCGTCGCCGGCCGACCGCTGCGCTGCTCTACAACTGCCACGTCCACACACGATGCACGGTCAGTCATTATACCGAGTAATGCTAATTATAACCGCGGGTGTTTTGTTAGAATGGCCCTGAGAGTGTGCCTTTGTTGTGTGATTATTGTTGAGTGCGTTTTCTAGTTGTGAAGTACACTGTGGTTAGGTAGGCTCGACATAACTACTCATTAGAAGTGGCGGGAACACTGCTCCAATGCCCTATTGTCGATTGAAAATGAATAACTACGGCCGCGGCTCCTGACTGTATCCCTTTTCCCCGTGCGCCCTACAGGTGACGGCTGACCAGGCGGTGCTGGTCTCGGCCGCGGCCGACGGCCAGCCCGCCCAGGAGCACCAGGTCGCCTCGCTCTCCTCAGCCTGGGTCTACTGGAAGGCCCTGCTGGCGCCGGCCCTGTGGGCCGGCTCCCAGCACCCGCTCACAGCAGGTGTGCCACTACTGCGAGCTGAGCGTGCGCCAGGGCGGCCGCCTGCTTCGGCTGCGCCGGCGCCGAGCCAGCCGGCTCGCAGCTGGACCTGCCACTAGAGACGGACCTGTGGGACCTGGACGTGCGGCTGTGTCAGACCGGCTGGTGCTGGGCCGGCGCCGCCCGGTGCGCTGTCAGCTGGACGGCCGGCCGTGCTGGCCGCGCCCCAGGCGGCCGACGCGCCGGCTCCCGGCGGCGAGCGGGCGGTACGGGCGCTGCTGCAGCTGCCGACAGCTGCCGCCGCGGCGGACAGCTGCCCGCTGCTGGTGGTCGTCTCCGAGCCGGCCCTGCTCTGCTGGCAGCCGGCACTGCTGCTCTGGCTGTCCCTGGCCACTCAGCTGGCCAGCAGCTGAGTGGCCCGGCGCCGCCGCCACTGCCCCAGCCGCCCGAGCCGCCGCCGCCGCCGCCGCCAGCGGAGGACCTGTCTGTCTGTTCCAGCCGGCTCCCAGCTGCGCTCGCCGAGCCAGACGCAGCAGGTGATGTCGCCGTCGGTCGTGGTGCGCGACTGTGCGCCCATCCCGCGTCGAACGCCTCCCCCCCCCCTCCACAACGCGCGCTGTAGCGCCTGCCGAGCGCCGGCTGCTGCCGGGCCCGCCGTCGTACTTTTATGGCCTTGCGCCGTCAGTCGCCAGCTGGTGGTGGCGACCCGTGATCGCTCGCGTACGTTCGCCGGCGCGCCCATTGCAGAGAAGGGGTTCGCGCATGCCCATTATAGAGGGGCGCCCTTGCGGAGGCGGTACGCGCTACGCTGTAGACACTACTGCTTGTACCTGGTTGGGTAGCTCCTTTGCACATTGTTTGTTCATGGATGTAAATACAAGTTACATGACTGATGAGTGTAATGCTTACATTTTGGAACTAAGAAATGCCACAGGGCAGGTTACCTCGGTGAGTTTCTGATATCAACATACTGAACATAAGAGCAGAATAATTATCCATAGAGCGTTAAGGATTTTAGTCACCGAATTCACCTGTCAGTAATTGCATATGGTGGCACCATGAGCATGAGCACCTTGCCTTGTCCGATCCTTTTCACAACAAGCAAGTAGAATCTGGGAAAAGGCAGGGAACTTACAAAGCATGCACATATGTAGATAACTGATGATTGTCTCTGTTCAAGCATGATCTGAGTCTGCAGCCTGTTCTGTTCCACATGAGTTACCGGGACAGCATCACACATGAATTTCTGCGTGCTTTAAACAGAAATGCCTTCATTTCCTTAAAATATATTCATTTTTCACACAAAGACAACAAAAATGTACATGTAGGTGGGTGCTGTGGCAAGAAATTACATACAAATGTATTTTGCCATGTAGGTACCCTTCTTTCACAGCATAATCATCAATCATAATTAAGAGCACCAAGGCGTTCTTTGCAACTTGCGAGCCCAGCCGTGTCAGACCAGCTGATGCAGGGGCTCTGTCACAGGGGGCACAAGGCCCAGTGGTTATGTCACAGCACAATGTTGTATAACCTGCTATTCAAGAACACTTAAATCTTGAAAAACCTGTAGCTCTCTTTTGTCGCCTCACTTTTCGCACTCTTGACAAATCAGTCGGATCAAGACTGAAACTTGAAGAGGATAAGGTCTTTTGTGGGATGTACTTGCAGTTTCAATTCAATGACATAAATTACTCGAAATTACCATTGAAATTGTACTGTACCATGACGAATCTACCATTGAAAGAAAATTGTATCATATTCATGACCCTGCTATAAAAACTGAAACTGAAACAAGCTCCAATTGCATATGATAAATTTGGCGATGTTTATAAATCTTGCTGCCTTAGACAAGCAAATCTTCAATTTGTTTCCATTTCAGGAAATGGAAACAAATTGAAAAAAAATAAAACAAACGGTAAATTTATCCAAACCCAAGTCCAAACCCAAGATAATCAATCAATTACTCTGGGTGCCGCCGGGGCGCCGAGTCAGCCAACGCCAGCTTATTCGTAAATCAAGTGATACTCTACTCGAATGCGTAAGAGGCGTTCAAAGGGCAAATGACGTCATCAGAATGCCGTTAATGGTTAAGAGATTGGGCCTTGTACAAGGCCCATTTTCAAATGAAGGGAACGAATTTCTTCAACACCACGAGGCCGCGGGGGTTGCAACCTAGATAGATAGTGGTTTCTGAACCTCGCCGCAAACTTGGCTATCTCAACTCAAATTTAATGTAAAGGTGGGATAGTCCCTTTAAGTAAATCAGTTATCGTTATCGTTTATCGCTAATTTTTCAAAATTATCGCTCATCCACTTATCGCAAGTTACAAAAATTATGAACGATAAACGATAAAATGTAAAACGGGATGATGGAAAAATGGAAGACGATCGACAGTGTCGTCGTCTGTCTGTACTGTCGATAGACTGTATAAAGATAGACTGACGATAAAGCACTGTCGATCGACTGTCGGCGATGTCGATCGTTGCATATATGCCGCGCGACAGTATGTGTGCGCATTGCGCAACCTGTTGCCATCTGCTAAGTGTACAGATCTGTCAGACGGCTGACGGGTGGTATAAAATTTGCGCACCGGGCAGAGGTCAGTCACAAGGGGGGGGGTCCACTACCGCATATCTGGGGGATTGAACAAGTACATATATAAATGAACTTGCTCGAGAAAGTCAAACTCAGCATAAAAAACTACGCCACCTTGGCTCAGGTTTCCGTCTTTGTACACTTTAAGTACACTTATTTAAGCTGTATTTATCGCTTTTGTTATCGCATTTAAAAACAATTATCGTTATCGTTTTATCGTTTATCGTTTCGTTATCGCTGTTAAAAAACACTTATCGTTATCGTTTTATCGCTTTATCGCTATCGCTGTTAATTTTTTGAATATTTTTATCGTTTATCGTTTATCGTTATCGCAAACCTTTCTTATCGTTTTATCGTTATCGCAGGTCCGAAAATTAGTTATTGCGTAAAGCACGGGAAATTGGTAAAAATTTGGTAGTTGCCTCATGTTCCTAGGTTGGTCCGGTTCCTCATTTCCTCACGGTTGTGGTCGGTATTTGGTTTGGTATCGGTATTCCGATTTTCTGTAATTGACATCACTAGTGCCTAGAGTCAAGCACACTGTGCTTTTGCACCACTCTTATATCATTTTGCTTTATCTTTCTTATTCATGCTCATTTTCCGATCGTTTTACTAGGTTGTCGATGCGCAATAAACATTAACTGGAATGAAAAAAAGGTATATTGGTTCCGCAGTTACATATACACCGGTTTGTTGAAAAAAATATTGAAAAAAACAATTTTGACCTTTGATGACCTCTAGTGACCTCACCTAAAATGTGGCCGACGTATTCTCGTCATGAGTTTTTTTTTACACTTTTTCGATTGCCGCTTACCGCGTGTCGCTACGTGATCCAGGAGCCAAGTTAGAGCTTTGCCTGCGGTGCGCCCAGGTGCGCCGTTTTTAGCTATAGTGCGGCAAAAAGTGGGGGCGTTTAACGCCTCTCCCGAGCAGCTCGCCGGTTACTGGGTGACACCAATTGACATTTTTATTCCTCACCGTGATCAACTTTGTTTTATGATTAAGTATCGTGTTGATTTATCATTTATCTAATTTGTTTATCGTGTTCCAGGTTTCCTACTGAAATGATATGGGTGCGCTCAGTCCTAATCGCCTTCTTCATGGCTGTGGGTCTGGCAGGAAATTTCCTGACATTGGTAGCCATCAAACGCACTCCCAGTCTGCATAATGCCACCACCGCATTCATCGCCAGGTAAGAGGTGTGAAAAACGCTCACTGAGGGACACCAGAATTCCGAGGAACACCGCACCACTCCGTCATCTTTGACTGCCGGTTATATTTATAGGTATATTGCAATTTACAGTGCTGCATTTCGTGTATGGCCGATTTGATGTTCTACATTATCTGTGGAGATAAAGTTTCGTGTATCATATGTGGCACTGGGTCGGTCTGATTGCAGCCGATCTGTAAGCAGCCCATGCCGTTGTATAGCATGCTGTGATGCTGTTTCAGCCTGGGTGTAGCAGATCTGATGTTCTGTGCGCTGGTCATGCCACCGGAGATTGTCCTGTTCTCCGAGAACACGTGGCTGAATGGCAACAGCATTCTCTGCGTCCTGCAGACTTTTCTTGAATATCTGTCGGTGGCGGGTTCGCTGTTCTCCATCAGCCTGGTGAGACCATGGGGTCAGGGGAGTGTAATCATGCAAACTGGCACAATTTCAAAACAAAATGATAAATATTTAATGTGTAAAATTACTTCGGTTTGCATTGTCGCTTCATACACGCTCGACGGTCACCAGCTCGAGAGGTGTGTTAGCGTGCGTGACCTTGGCATCATCTTAGATAGCAAGCTTAACTTCGCAGACCATGTTGACGCTATAGTCTCGAAGTCGAACCGCATGCTGGGCTTGCTGATGAGGAGCATGCAGGTCTCGACACGGGTGCATCGAGCGCAGTTCGACTGTGTCGCAGCCCTCACCGCCTACAAGGCGCACGTGCGTTCCGTAATGGAATACGGCTGTGTTATCTGGTCGGGTGCCGTGTCACCCACCTGCGCCGATTAGAGCGACTACAGCACCGTTTTCTCATGTGGCTGGGCGCCCGGACACAGGCGAGGTGCCCTTCACTCGACTATGCATCGCTGCTTAAACTGTTCGGCTGCGAATCAGTGAGGTCACGATTCACACAGTGTGACATCAACTACATGCGCTCCGTGTTCAGTGGTCGATTGGACTGTCCCGACATCTTGGCCATGTTTTCTCTGTCGGCACCCGGCCGTCGCACGCGCCGTCCCGAGCTCTTTCATGTGCCACGCGGAAGAGTGGACACTGTGAAGCGAGGATTTCTGATTCGTCTTCCCCAGCATGTGAACTCGCTTGTCCACAGCAGCCCCGAGGCCGATTTCTTTATGCCTAGCTGCAGGCTACGGTCGGAGATAGCCAAGTTTGCTGACGACCAGGGAACATACTTAGCCTAAGGTCACTGATATTGCTCCTCATGTAGCAACTAGCCGTTACCGGTTTTATTCTCATTGTCATTGTCTACGCTCATTTTTCGTCTTTTTGTCTTTTTATTTCATCCACTGTCATTCTTGCTTAGGTATACCTATACACTCTTTTAGGATTTCAGGCTATTGCCTGTGCTGTTTACTTTTAGGGGATTTCTCATGTCAGTATACTTTTAGCCTCGCTCATTCGCCAGGTGCCTATACTTGTATATTCTCTTAGGCTTTTGCTCATGTCTTCTATATTCTTAGGCTGTTGCCTGTCGGTTTACTTTTAGGCTCTTGCCATCTTGTTAATTTATTTGGATTTTGATCAGTGTTATCACTCATATTTATTTCCATCCAGTGTGTGTGAGTGGTTGTTATTGTCAGTGTGCGACTGCATCCGTAAGTGGGGCTTTGCCTGTGGACGCTATGCCAATAAATAAACAAATAAACAAATTAGTCATATTCAACGCTTCCTATGTGATGGGCTCCTTATACACGCCTACCTGGTCTGGTTTATGATGTGGTGACTGGTAGTTACCTTTACCTAAACAGAAAGCCCGTTCGTGGCAAGTTGTACCATGAGGGATTCTCGGGTAAAACGCTCCGTTATTATTATTTTTTTAACTCCTTATGTACCTATGTCTGTTATGTATTTGCAATTTGCATGCATTTTCAAGCATCCTAGTGACATGCTGCTGTCTTGCGACATATAAATGCTAGTTTCATGTGGTACCTATGCATGTATCAAGTATGTACCTATCAACTAGTTATCAGAACGTTTACATTTTTCTTTCTTCTTTTTTCAGATATCGTTGAACAGGTATGTATGTACTTCTTCAGCAAAACATTTAAATGCTATCTCCAAACAGAAACACGGGGATAACTAGATGGCTCCCATTTTCTACTCAAGATTAGCTACAATTCTACTCTAGCTACAATTAGGTTATAGGTAGCCTGATTCTAGCTTTTAACACGCGCAGTGGAACACTGGAAGGGGGGGGGGGCGGATTTCGCCCACCCCTCCTGTTTTTCGCCAATAACTTGCGCCGCAAACACAATATTAATGTGAAATATCGGCTACCTGTCCATAATTGAATTGCAGATCTTCTCGTGCAAGAAATAAGAAAAGCGGCGGGACGGTACCGTCTTTACATCGCGCTCCTTACCGCTGCTTATATTCGATACGCGTCAAATTTTGTGAGAAGACTAAAGAAATGTACAGGCAATCTTATGGTGAAAGAATTTTGCAAATCGGCCGGTAAAAACGTGAGTTATGAGTGTGTACACACAAAATTGTGATTGCCGCTTTCCCGCGTCGGCCGAATCTGCTTCAGCCGGCGACATCTTACTCTGCAGGCTTCTAACTGCCATATTTATTGTTGGATTAACTAGAAATTCACCGTACATACTCAGAAATGTATGTTCTTTCGTATAGTGAAAGAAAAAAGTAAATCAACCGGCAACTTTTTGAGTTATCGGCGTGTAAACGCAAAAACGTCGCTCATATGGCAGATTTGACCACATTTGACCTCATTTGACCTTGAAGATATTGACCTAGGGTCATAAAATTCACACACAATAGAGTTCCCCAGAAATTTCGTCTTTCTAGCTCCAGTGGGAGCTGAGATCTTAGGAGATCTTAGAGGGGGGGGGGGGGGCGACATCCGCCCCCACCCCCTTCCACTGGACGTCAAGTACTCACAACCCTTCCACTCATAGGCGGCGGAACGGGGGTGGCACCGGGACACCGTGCCCCCTTTGATTATGGCATTTTAACATTAGCCCTATAGGCGTTGCATTGAAAGAATGGGAGTTAAAGTCGGCAGTGCCCCCCCCCCCCCTTAATTGAAAGTGTTCTTCCGCCACTGCTTCCACTGCGCATGTTAAACATAGGTGATTGCTTGAATCTCATACAATAATTTTCTTACGAAGAAGATTGAAGAATGAGGGGTACCAAACCCAAACAGTAGGTACCCATCTTGCTTGTCAGTGACTACTATGGACGTCAAACCCCTTGAGACCCCACTTTTTTGCGATAATTTTTAAATGCGTCAACTCTCGTTGACAATATTCTGGCAATGTGTGTTTTAGAACCTGCCGAAACTTTTATTACTAAGGTATTTTGACGCCAAACGATTATGAAAGGTACTTCTCATTCTCTCGTAATGTTAATTTTCACGGAACGAATCTGCTGTTTGGGTAGAGGCTACGCGCTCATGGGGCGGAGCCACGCAATGACGTCAGCGCTAAGCTCCGCCCTACCCCTCCGGCGCTCCTTGCCCGGCGACCGGTCACTGGCGTCTCTCGCTCCATTCAGGCTTGATGGTGGGCGGTAGCTGGTAGCGGTAGCGGGCGCTGGTAGATGGCATTTAGAGCAGATGGCGCTGGTGGCGGGGCTCAAGGGTGGCCGAGCGCAAGCCTCTGCCCGGGCCTGAATTGACCTTAGCATTACGAGTGAATGAGAAGTACCTTCCATAATCGTTTGGCGTCAAAATACCTTAGTAATAAAAGTTTCGGCAGGTTCTGAAACATACATTGCCAGAATATTGTCATCGAAAGTTGACGCATTTACAAATTATCGCAAAAAAGTGGGGTCTCAAGGGGTTTGACGTTCATAGTAGGTGGGCATAAACGAAACATTCAGAACCTTTGTTTTCAACACAGCGAGAACGCCCAATTCAAGTCTTAAAACCCTCGCCCGTAGGTATAGGGGGGGGGGGGGGAGACGATCGGACCCCACCCCTCGGTTTTTTCGCGAATACGGAATAACTCGCGTAAAAAGCGGCCGATCGCGGCGAAACTTTCAGTATCCTCGAGTTGATCAATTGTACAGACTGTATATTTATACATACATACGCAGCGACGCTCGTTGTTATTGCGATTGGCAAATACGCCCCTGCAGTTAGTGCAGTACCTAGGTACAGTCGGGTACAGGTTGATATTATGGTCCACTACTCTTTATCCACCGGGTTCCTATGGCTCAGCATTAGCAGCAGCCGCCTGGTACCGGTAGGCTGTGCCGCATGACCCGAGAGTGAAACGGCACAGCCTACCCACACTGTATCAATGACACCGGCTCGGGTCGCCTGGTAGAGCGATTTGACCGGACGCTGCGTCACACCGGCTAGGGGGGGGGGGGTACCCTAGTCTACCGAGTACCCTAGTCTTGTCCGAGTATAGGTATATTCTATACGCGCTGACTGCCCAGCGTCCGCCAGGTTTGTGTTGATCATCTGTCCTCCTGGCGTCTACCAACGGCTGTACCAGAGACGGTGGGTAGCGGCGCAGATCGCTGGCGTCTGGAGCTTCAGTCTCGGCATGCTGACCCCCACCCTGGCCGGCGCCTGGGGTAAGCGCTTATGAGAAAGAATACCGATCACATACAGCACCGAAAATATGTCTACCACCCTTCATGCAAGGTTGCTTTTACATTGATTACAGCACCCAATAGGCCTGCGAGTATCTATTGGAGGATAGCATAACAATGAAAAACGTTCAGTCCGATTTTTCCGTTTGCCAGCCAGAAAAGCTACAAATAATTTACCTTAGGACCTCACGTGCTGTAGTGCTCCTAGTCGTTCGCCGCCTGGACCGGTCGCGGCGGCCGACTGACCGTGCCCGCGTGCGGGACAGGCCGGTTCGGCTACCAGCCGCGGCTGAGGTCGTGCGCCATCCTGCCGGTGAATGGACGCTCTCCCAACGTCGCGCTCTTCATCATCGCCTTTCTGGTGACGTGCGCCGTCATCTCGGTCTGCTACCTGGCCATCCTGATCGCCGTGTTGAGGTAAGGCGCAGTCCGTTTACTGCAGTGACAGTGTAAACGAGCGTTTTTGTCAAATCATTTGTCTAGAAATCTTTACAATTCATTTATTTATCATCAATTCCCTTCTTCGTTATTTTCTTCAAGCCCGAGTCCTCCATGTATGCAGTGTTTGCCAGAGCGCCGCGTTTCCTTCCAAAGGTCGAACAGGCGGCAGCGGCAGCACTTAGCACCGCAAAAGGGCGAGGTCAGGAGCCAACGCACCCTGCGCCAGCGGCGCCACGAGGTGCGCGTCACCAGAATGTCCCTGGCCGTCTTCATGGCCTTCATCGTGTGCTTCGCGCCGCTCACGGTTGCCAACATCTGGGACGTCGGCTACGATCACCCAGGTGACTACCCAAACACAAATACCTTACGAACGAAAAACGGTCATACAAATTACTGCAGCCTCAAGTCCAAACGGCTACATCTACTCAGGAAACGTAACTTCATATTGTCGGTGTTCGGAAGGCAGCATCCCTGTGACTCGGATGACCGGCGGCTACAACCGGCAATTTAATTGGCAATAAACAGACTCGTCACTGAATGGCAGCTATAACAGCCAGTGCACTCGTTATTGGATTAGAAGTTGTCAGTGTTCGCGTGTGCGCAGAGTGGCTCAGCTGAGCACCGCTGGCATTTGACGCCGTGCTCGTATTTCCAGTGTTGCACGTGATCGGCTACGTGGCAGTGTGCGTCTCGTGCTCCATTAACCCCATCATCTACGTGACGCTGAGCAAGCAGTACCGGCGTGCCTACTGGTCATTGTTCAGCTGTGGAAAGCCGCGACGCAGCTCAGAAACCTCGTCAAACGGTGAGGCGCCAGTGTCGGTAACGAAAGCAACGGCAGCTCGGGACGCGACAGACTCGACTGCCTGTTCAGCATGGGCGTTACAACAAACTCTAATGATATCAACAATAAATCAATAAACAAAATGATAGAAAAAACGAAGGTACTTAAAATGTTGGAAACTACGATGGATGCACGCACGACCTGTCTAGAATCTAATGAATCGTATCCGTTTCTCAGTGTTGCAGGCCCCGCAGGCACCCTGGTCACCGGCTTAAGTCACTAATAAAGAAAGTAAACGGCCACGCCGTGGACTGAGGATCCGCCAGCGCGGGACCGTGAGTCAGTGAACAGCTTCCACTCGGCACGACTGGCAAACGAAATGACAGCGTATTGTCGTCCCAGGGAGTGTCCGCAGATAGTCCAGAACAAGGCCCAGAAGTACCATGCAGAAGACTGTTGCTCCCCGAACCTCTGCGTAGACTCATTTGGACAGATGAAACGAAATGACAGCGTATTGTCGTCCCAGGGAGTGTCCGCAGATAGTCCAGAACAAGGCCCAGAAGTACCATGCAGAAGACTGTTGCTCCCCGAACCGCTGCGTAGACTCATTTGGACAGATACTGCCCCTTAGCCCAGCAATACATTGATGGGACTTACAATATGAGACATACTTTGATTATCCTGTTTATTTTGAGGTCAATACGTGATGACATGTATATTGTATACTGTATATTGCAAATGTGTATGGAATAAACTTTGAAATGTGGAAAGCTTTAACCCGGCAGGCGGTGGGCCTCCCGGCCACCTTCCGCGCGGTGGGGGTGGGGATGGGGGACATTTTTTTGCCCCCCTCTGTATCTCCGAAACTACTGGACGGATCTGTAAAATTCAAACGGCGTTCGATAGCCCTGTCAAATTTGTCGAAGGAAACCAAATTTCATGGCGTCACCGATGACGCCACAGGTCAGGTCAAAGATAAAATGTTTACCGTTCACGGGTCTTCTAGGGAATGCGCTATAACATCGAGTAAAACGCATTTTGTTGAAAATCAGCGATAGGGCGTCAGTTGCCTAGTACATATGTTGCTATTAGAGGTCACTGATAATACCAGGTCAGGTCACCAAGGGTCAGCACATGAACCCAACTTTACTGGCGTTGTGCGATGCATGTTTTATGGCCAATTTTTCATTTCCAACTCAATGGTGTTGGTTATAAGACCATCAGGTATGGTTTAGGTCACTTTCTGGTGGAGGTCAGGTCAAGGTCAGGTCAAAAAGGTCAATTTTCGAAGTTGACATTTTTGCATAAAATGGGTATTGATTTGATGCAGCTCGTCACGGGGAGTCTAATGGTGGTCTTTGTTTTGCGCTACGTGGTCTAGAATTGCTAAAAATTGAGTTTGAAAATTTGACGTCATCAATTTTGAACAGTTTTTTTTTCGCTATAACTTAGCCAAAAAAGAGGTATTGATCTCAAATTTGGTGTGTGGATAGAAGGCGGTAGGGAATATCACATATACCTATTCCTTTTTTCGAAATTATTTTTTTTTTGAAATTTCGACTATTATATTCAAATTCTTTTTATTTTATTTTGGGGGGTCAAAATTCAAAAATTTCTAAAATCCTAGATAGCAGTGTTATAGCCCTGTTAATTCTAACCTTTTATGTCTAAAACATTTTTCTATATCTCTAAAGCTGAAGGCCTGACAGCTCTTCCCGCGAAGCCTTTTTTGGGGTCGAAAATGACAGAAATGACGTCACTCCGACGTCATTAGCGGCCAACCTTTCAGAGCCTTTGGATTTTTTTTCGTCACAATGTGTAAAAGCTATTCACGGGGGTGCTTAAAGTGTTCTGAAGAAAAAACTAAGGGGGGGGGGGAAACCCCCACCTGGAAGGGGACGTCTGCCAATCGTAAAGACGCGATTTCATCAATGATCATGCCTATCATGCACGTTTCATCCGGTAATTCACTGAACAAATCCGGTACCGATGGCCATGCACTTATGCTGCATTCAAATCGATATGCAGTATGCACATGTGGATTGTGAAATGAGCATACTTGTACCCAACTCGTACACCGGCCCTTCCAATTCTTAGGTCCCGTAGGTTGCAATGATTATTGGGTGTTGACTAAATGTTCAATGTGCCATCATGCGCTTTATCGTGACGCTTGAAACTCGATCCCAGAGTCCAATTTGTTTGGCAAATCGAGTCAACCAGTGGATTGCTCTTCCAAATATGTTTTAAGCATGCTTGGGACATATCGTAGGTGCGTCCGTTTCGTAGGCAAACGTTGGTGAAAATTTTGTCATACGCTACGCCGCAAAGCTTTGCTAAAATAAGAGCCATCATATATTTCAGCATCTAAACGCGAAAAAGCACAACACTTCCCAAATGGCGTATAGATCTCATTATCTTGCTTAGTTAACTTCAACACCCCGCAATGAGTTAACTTCAACACCCCGCAATGAGCACTCCGCCGCGGTTCACTGCGCATTCGACTATTCACTTGGAATGCGTTCCCTGCTCAGCACAAGTTAGATACCAAAGTTCATTTTTTCCCTGTTGTGCGAAAGCTTTAAGATTGCCAATACTGGCTGCGTTAGTTCACCATTCGATCGAAAAAAAGTGTGTTTCCCCGGATCTTTTATTTTATTTTGTATAAATAATAAAATCTGTCCGGCCAGCGCCGTCGGCAATCGAGTGGGATAGTCGTTCACTGTCGGCGCGGAGGTTGTCGATTTCGGACCGGGGCTCGGACCCCGGCGCGTCACTGACTGTCTGTCGGACGGACGACAGCAGCAGAGACGGCGGCGGCGGCGGCGAGCGGCCGGGACCGGCGGCCGCGGCAGCGGGGGAGCGCCGCGCCGCGCGGCCACGCCCGGCCCGGCTGAGAGGGGCACAGCAGCTGGCCTGTCGGAGGAGCGGGCAGCCGTCACACGACAGGACATCGTTACAACGCAGCTCAGGTCGACGGCAAGCACACCGTGCAAGTGCATTGCAGCAGCAACAAAACCACTGATAATTATATGTATCTCCTCAAGCAATATCGTGACAACTGACAATTCCATTAAATTGAGTAAATTCTTCTTTACGTCGACAGAAAGAAAATTGCATAGGATTCTGAGATTCGCTGAGCCTTTAATTTAAAAGCATGATAGAAACGTTTTCCCCAAGCACCTTGTTTGTTATGTACAAATATTTTTTGTTTATTTGTTTGTTATGCACCTATCACCGCTATTGATTAGTGACTTGCTGCAATTATTTGGTGTTGCATGTTTGGAGAATAGGCGTCGACAATGACATTATGTTTGTTGCCAAATTGTATAGAAATCATACTGATTGTGCAGCCCTCTTAGCCCATTTCCCTCTATTCATCGCCCAAGGGCAACGAGAAACACCGAACAAGCACGTGGTGTCTTTCATGTTCCATTTGCGAGAGTAAACGCGGTGCAGATGTCACTTTTTGTTAGCGCACCATCGTTTGTTAATAAGTTTTTGTTTCAGTGTACTGACCAGAGTTGGCCTACGTTACGTTATTTTGAAGTTTTCGGTAACCCGTAGCTGTCAGTACCGTTTCGTAGCGTAATTGGGATGTTTCGGTAGCGTAGTACGGAAAATAATAGAATAACGTAGGAACTACGAAATGGATTCCGTAGCAATTACAGGTCAGCTGTATTTGTATAAGGTACATAATTTTTTCAGTTTACTCATATCGTCACCAGACCTCCGGCCGTTTACACGGATGTGAGACGCCTGCTATATGAATACCACTGAGTCTTTCTTCGGGCCGGACCGACACCGGGGATTTCCCACTGGGGAGTCCCAGGGAATTCCCTGTCGGAAGTCCAGCGCATCTAGCGAGTAGCGCGTAGGCACCGCCGCACCGACGATGCTGCAAAGCCGGCGATCATTGTGCGCAGCATTTGGCCTACTAGAGACTAACCGTTTCCACTGGGTAGTGGATGATGACATATTGCATAACGTAGTACGATAAAATAATTTGCTGCGTTAATTAACAAATACCGTAATTCAGTAACGTAGCAATATATAACGTATCGTAATTCGGTATCGTAGTTTTGGCCAAAAAAGCAAACGTAGCGTAACGTAGTGCGTAACGTAGCGTAGCGCAGGGCAACTCTGGTACTGACTACTGATGCTGATGTATTCCATGACTTAGGGCTTAGGGTCAATGTGTCAACACATAAAAGAATTGTAAAATTATATCGTAGTTGCATTGTCCTGTCAGAGTGCTTGTATTTAACATTTGGCTGATTTTGAGTGCTTGGGCATTAAAGTGACCATCCCACCTCAACATTAGTTTTGAGTTGAGATAGCCAAATTGGTGGCCATGGCCTGCAAATACTGGTTTGGGCGCTCACAACATCGAAAAATGCTTTAATTCGGAGATATGGAATTTCAAACTTGCAGTTTTCGGATTCTAAGGGGCTAATGCATTGGAATGCCCCTTAGAATTTGTGACGTCAGCGATGATCTAACGATTTTAAAACCTTATACTAACATCTTTGTGAAGCAGCGGTAGTATATGCTATTTGCGCACAACAACTGCCGCAAACGCCGCACTTCCAAAATGAAGTCGCTAGGAACAGCGGAGATCCCAAAAAGTACAGAAAAAGTCTAATATCTTGAAAACCGGTGAATATTTTTCGGTGACGTTTTTGCTCTTTCTGAACCGATCGACATCACTTTCATGCCAATTCATTAACTTTTTTGAAGGTCGGACGGTCCCTATAAATGGGCCCATGTATGCCTGTTGTCCTTGACCCCAAATAAATAAATAAATAAATAAATAAATGAAATGTCTGTTGTGTAGACAAGACATACGCAATGTGCATTACATACGTTCTATCTTTACTACTGGTGGTCGCAGAACGGAACTTGCGCCGCAGATACTCACATTGAAAAGCATCTAGACCTTCTCCTCCTCTAGTCCGTGCTTGAAGAAGTAGATGAAGGGCTTCTCGGTTCCGTTGTCCTCCTCGTACAGCATGATGGCCGTCATGCCCTCGGGGTTCATGCTCTCGCCTAAATGAAAACAAAAAGATCAGTTAAATTGACCAACAATATCAAAGGTGGTGAGACTGTACTATTACGCAAAAAATACATGTTTCCTTTTATCTCCTAGCAGCTATACTCACCCTGGAAGAACTGCATGTCCTTGAACTTGGTCAGCTTCTCCTTGACGAAGGCATTGGCGCCCTGCTTGAAGGCATCCACCTGGTCGGGGTTGGACTCAGCCAGCTTCTTGGCGATGGTGCCCATGTACTCCTTCAGATAGCTGACGTAGTTCTTCTTGTCGGAGAAGCCGGTCTCGGTGAGGCGCATGTTGAGCACGACGTCGACGCCGGACTCGTTGTCGTCGTCGGCGGCCTCCTCGGCCTCCTCTGCCGACGGGTTGGCGCCGTCCAGCACTAGCTCGCCCACCTTGCTGCGGGTGATGTACTGCCGGCAGACACCGCACGGCGCGCGCGTCAGTGACATGACGGGCGGCGCACATCATCCGAGGGACACTGAACATTAACAATAGCACGAATGTTACTTCATGATCGTTCAATTATTATCATGGTGTCATGCTAGTCTGTTTAGAATTGATTATCACAACATGAGATGCAAATAAGGTTAGTACATATTTTGATGAAGAACTGTATGATTCAAAGGAGGCCCTCACTCATTTGAGCATGATATGACAAACAAGTTGTAACATTTTTGTGCCATTTAACTGCTGAGTAAAACATTGAAAGGCATATGCCATTGCCATGTGACAAACATATCAGGACACATCACTGTCCAATTTATCTCTGTTCATCTAGAGGCTGCTGAAACAAATTAGCAAAATCATTTTGAAAATGACAAATGATATCCAAAGATAACTATTGAAACTGAATTAACTCACCCTTCCTTCTACCCGGTAGACGGCTCCATGAACCAGCTCAAATTTGTAGGTGTCCATGAACATTTCATCACCTGAAATGACAGCTAGAGTTAGAATACAAAATTTGATAGAAAATCAAACACCAGCACAAAACACAGCTTTATCCATTTAGCAGGCAAAAGAAGTCCTATGACTGCCAATAACTCAGTTTGACCAATAAGCTGGCAATGTCCCAATAACAGCTTACGCATTACAGCCCACCTCTTGTGGCCCCTCTTCCCTCTTGCATTCCCCTCTTGGTACTAACTCCCCTCTTGTGTTCCTCATTCAAACCCCCTCAGCTGTGGATATTTCACTTCTATGTTAAAACAAAGGGCATCAATAATGAGCTTGTGATCAGAGTTCTGTCCATATAATCAGAAATACTTATATAATCAACTTATTGATTGATTTCATTTGGTAAATCCCATAGGCCTGATTTGTTCAAATACATTAACACAAAATGTTGTAGGCTTGAAAACTAAGGCTTTAGATAAATATACACAAAATGTTGTAGCTCTGAACCTGAAGACATACTAGCTTCTAGTCACAAAATCAAGAGGATCATATTGGTCTCATAAATGACAAAAAGCAAATGTTATCCACTGTCATGTATATCATGTAATATGTATGTACTATCCACTGTCATGTCATTGTCTGCCATGTATGGGACTTGCCTAAATTGATGAACTTAACATATGTTTTCAGGTGAGGTACCTAAATCATGGTTCCTGTTTCAGGATAACTTGTTTCAGCAGACATAATGCTTTAATTGGAAATACATCAGTTGAAAGACTGAAGTGCTTGAATTCTATCAGGCTGATTCAATTGCATGTGTCTTTTGTGACATTAACACAGATTCAACAGCTTTGAAACATTTATTAGAGCTTTGGACAAAAGTATGAACAACAAAGCTATACACACTAGAGCTTCCCACAACATACATTGCTCCAAAGCTAAGTACCTAAATGAAAGCTGATATTTCTTCATTGGATAACACAAAACCAAATGAACAAAAATCAAATATCTCACACTGGCAAATAGTTTCCAGTGAAATTTGCTAGATAATTGGGGGGAGGGGGCGCCCAGATTGCTACATAATTGTGCATACCTGATTTCAACCAATGTACAAGACTTCAAGACCTACTCATCAACTTTTTTCCCAAGGTGGGAAACCTAGTAATTTTGTTTAGTTAAACAGGCGCCCCACTTCTTTTTTACAACCAATGACAGGCTACAGGTTAGGACATAGACTGTAGGTTTTAGGCTTTGGGTGGTAGGTTTCAGGTCATAGGTTGTAGGCATGATTTGGTTAGAAAGCATCTGTGTATAGCACCTCTATGTGGTTGCATGTGACGCCTGCTTTACAACTACCATAACTTTCAGGCATTAGTAGAGCAGACGTCACACAAAGGTTTTCCAACCGAGGAGAGGCGCTGTAGGTTTGTAGGTTGTAGGGTAGGTTTGTAGGTTGTAGGTTAGGTTAGGTCAGGTTAGGTTTGTTGGTATATGTCAAGTTTAGGTCCTAACTACAATTGTGACGCTGTTGATACAAATATGTAACAGCAAAAAGCTTAGGTTTTAGGTTAGGTTAGGTTAGGTTAGGTTGTAGGTTTGCAGGTTTTGGGTTGTAGGTAGGTAGGTTTGTAGGTTTTAGGTTGTAGGTTGGTGGGTTATAGGTAAGTAGGTAAGGTTAAGTCAGGTTTGATTATATTTCTTTCTTTTATTTGCGAGACATATGAGTATCATTTTTGGATTCAGGATGTCAAATAATGTAAAAATATGAAAAAATTGTCAATGAAGTCTGCTTAGGACTTTATCTTGACATTTCCCAGGTTTGTTTAGGTTTTCCTAGAAAGAAACACTTCTGGGTATGGCACCTCTCCTTGGCTGGAAAACCTTTGTGTGACGTCTGCTCTACTATTACCAACTCTCATACCAAACAGACCAACACCTGCACTGTGAAAAACACGAATCATTGGGCAATCATTACCTCAAATATCAAAAACTAGTTGTTTAGGTCTGATTTTACATTATAAATTGCACTCTTGGTTAATACAAGTTTTCTTTCGCAATTAATGATAAATTTATACAATGCAACGCGAAATGAACTTTTATACAATAGCGGCGCGGAACAGACAGTAGGTTATTCATCCCTTTCTACTCAGTCTGACGCAGTCCAACGATCTATCACAGTGAGTGCTACAAATAAGTGCACTGCCAAAGCGAGCTTACCAGAGATGATATCTTTGTAAATCAGCATCGTGAAATAAATTCAAGCAACCACTCCCCGGGCAGAGCAGAAGCACCACAGCCGCCGACGACAACCTAAAGGAAGTTTGGACGTTAGAGCTGATATATTTGAGAAAGCTGCCTATCAAGGTTCAATTGTAATCAACTAGCTTTCCCGAATGCAAATTCAATTTTTCAATGCAGACTGTACTGAAAGTGAGAATACCATACAAAAATAAAAATATTTTAAAAATTCACCTCTATTATTGTGTCTTGAGTCAAAAACTGCGAGGGAAGGACTATTGCTGCGCAGATATTTCTTTGAGCTATTGTGTTCTTTTGGCCACCAGCAATCAGCTAGATACATAACTTGTATTGCTGAATTTGCAATCTATAGCTAAATTAGAAGTGATCTTGTCAATATAAGATTTGGGGAAATTACTTTGTGCATCCATGAAAATTTTTCATTCCGAACAAAAGAGTAATATTATTCTTACAAGGGTCTTTCTTGATGCCATACGTTGATGCGCGTGCATATCCATCTGCTTTTGAACACGCAGCATGAGCAGATAAAAACTTCTGTTTCTGTAGTTGTGCAGTGATTTGGGTCGGGTGTTGAAGAGTGTTTGCACATTTCATATTTCATTGCTATTTCTTGCCGTTAATCGATCATCAATAGTGAAAATTCCTTGCATAATTGTCTCGGTGCCTCATAAGAACATTATTGTTGCCCTAAAACGCAGGTTTTGCGGACCAGTTCTGCAAGCCATAAGCGGGGTACTTTTTGGTCTACCTATTGTGATAGTTTTCGTGTGCCACCTAGCTGCTGAGCTTGTTGTTATGCACAACATTTGTGGCAAAGAAAGAAGTACACATATTGGTTTCCAGTGAAAGCTTGCCCTTGTTTGTTGCTCATTCCGTGGAGAAGGAATAAGGATGGCTTCTGACGAAAATGTTAAATCAAGATTGCAAAATTTTAAGAACAAAGGAAAGGATCAAGATGTAAGTATAAATGGAAGCTTGTCTGGCTGTTTTTTTTTTGGTAGTGGTTGAGGGGAGTGCTTTCTACTTGCTATAGCTATTTGCTCTTGTTGGATTTGTGTTCTGGGTCCTGCTTAAAGTGAATAGTTCACTTTCCATATTTTTTTGCAATGGATTTAGGATTTTTTATAAGCAAAATGATCAGCAAAGAATTTTTTTTTTATTATAATTTATAAACAAAAACAGAAATATTTTTTTCCCACCTGATACCTTATACCTGATACCATAAACCGGGGTGATAATGATACCTGGTGTGACTTAGTTTGATCATGACCAGTTTTGGGTCTAAAATGAGCATTTTGCTGCTGTGAAGTGTGAACTGTATTTTCTGTGCCAATGGTAAAATAAAGCAACAAAGCATTATAGCAGACACAGTTTGATCCTAGTTAAAATAATCATGTTGATGTCACATCTTGTTTTTTTTTTTGTCATTGGCATGAAGTATAAGTTCGGAACATGCATCCACAATGTGCCTATGAGTTCCTTGAGAGAACTGTATCAATGCTAGTTGAGCGACATGTGCCCAAGAATCGAACAGGCAAAACAAAAAACCTGTACATGAACAGAGAAGCCTTACAGCTACGCAATAAGAAGAGGACCCTGTGGGCTACGTACTCCAGGACTCTAGACAATGAAGATCTCTCTAGATTCAACACATGTTGCAACAAACTGAGAAAAATGACTAGGAACTTGAGAAGAGATTTCAAAACACAGATCGTTAATGAGGTCAAGTATAACCCAAAATATTTTTGGAGATATGTAAATTCCCGCCTCAAAACCAAACCAGGGATTGACGTTATTGAAGACGAGCTAGGTCAACCAAGAAGCTCACCCAACGATAAGGCAGCTCTGCTCAACCGGTATTTCTGCAGCGTCTTCACCACTGAGGACCAGACCTCTCTGCCAGAACCTGAGCACCATTCTCTTCCTGGGGGCACCCTGTCTGAAGTGACTATAACACCAGAAGAGGTTTACCTGAAACTCCTAAAGGTTAATGTTTCAGGAGCCCCTGGCCCTGATGGGCTGCATCGCCGTGCGCTCAAGGAGCTAGCTCCACAGCTGGCCTGCCCACTTGCAGTCATCTTCAATGCTTGTATCCAGACCTCTTGCATACCAGTCGAATGGCGCCACGCTATTGTCATACCGATTTTCAAGAAGGGACCAAGGCAATCGGCGAGCAACTACCGACCAATTAGTCTCACATCCATCGTATGTAAAGTCATGGAAGCTATCATGAGAGACAAGATAATGAGCCATCTCGCAATGAGCAACTTGCTTAGTCCCCACCAGCATGGTTTTCGCCCTCGCCGATCTTGTAGTACCCAGATGCTGGAAACTATGGACATCTGGACCCAGACAATTGAGGCCAAGCAGCCACTGGACGCTGTGTATCTAGACTTCAAGAAGGCTTTCGACTCTGTGCCTCATGGTAGACTCCTGTTGAAGCTGGAGACCTACAGCATAGTTGGCAAGACTGGACTGGGTAAGAGCCTTCCTTGCTGACAGAACCCAGCAGGTCGTAGTCGAAGGGGTCAAGTCCACAAGATCAACTGTAACCAGTGGAGTGTCACAGGGCTCTGTCTTGGGACCTCTTCTGTTTCTGCTCTATATCAACGACTTACCTGGCCACATCTCGTCCTCCATCAAGCTGTTTGCTGATGATTGCAAAGTGTTTCGCCCTGTGCACTCCCCAGAGGCTAGAGACGTGCTCCAAACCGATTTAAATGGACTTGGAAACTGGTCGCAGCTGTGGCAGCTTCCGTTCAACTTGGATAAGTGTCACGTTCTACACCTTGGCCCTGGAAACCAGAACGCGACATACACAATGCTGGGGAGACCATTGGAGGCCACGGAGAGTGAGAAGGACCTGGGAATAGTTGTCGACGGGTCGCTCGACTTTCACCAGCAGACCGCAGCAGCTGTCGCTAGGGCAAACAGGGTTCTAGGCCTGGTTAAGAAATCGTTCGTGAACCTCGACGCGAAGTCTCTGCCCTTGCTTTTCAAGTCCCTGATTCGGCCTCACTTGGAGTTTAGCAACTGCATCTGGGGGCTGGGGCCCCTACTCGATAGGCGACCAAAAGCTGGTTGAGAGGGTGCAGCGCAGAGCAACGAAGCTGGTGCCAGAGCTGCGTACGAAGCCTTACTCTACGAGACTGCGTCTGCTTGGTTTACCGTCGCTGACGTACCGCCGACGACGGGGCGACATGATCGTCATCTACCAGATCCTCCACGACGCGATGGACGTTGACGATGGACTTCTTCGCCTGTCCGAGACTGGGATCACGCGGAGTCACGTGGCGGAGTGGAGTCCTGTGGCTTAGGACATCTGCACCCTGTTGGGCTATTCAGTCATACGCGCCCTGCTGGGGGGGGGGGGGGGCAGATTCTGCCCCCCTGTCTAACTTCCAAACTGATGGTCCTAGAAAGACAGGGAAACGGCAATCAAAAGTTCTCATCAAGGCGGATCTTAACCCTCGCCGGCACAGAGGGGGGGGGGGTTGATGCAACCCCCCCTAAGGTTTTTCGCGAATAACTCGCGTAAAAAGCGGCCGATCGCGACGAAACTTTCAGTACCCTCGCATTGATCAATTTTACACCTACCCTGAAAATTTCATGACCCTGACCCAAATGACCTTTGATCTGTGACCTCTTTTCCGAGACCATGTTTGGCCGGAATCGCAATTCGGCGTATGTTGGCTCGCATTAGCCGCGCGTTTGCAAGCTTTTCGTGGTTTCAAACATTCAAACATGTGATTTGATGTTGCTCCCATACATTAGGGTGGGTTTCAGGGTCACCTGAAGGTCAAGTCAGGTCATTGACCTTTGGTGACCTCGGGTGACCTCGGTTCACTTTTTCGAGTTTTACATGTTTCTAGGCTAGTTTTTGGAGCTGAATTCGAATTTAGCAACCATTTGAACATTTACGAAGTAGTTTTGGTGCCTCCGTAACATGTTACGAAGCTGTCAGAGGCGGTTGACACGTATTATGAATACCCGTCACAACCCCTACCGGTTGACCTGATCTGACCTGACCCGACCTGGTCTAAATGCTTAAAGACATAATCTCTGATCAAAACTAACACGATATTCGTGATCAGCACCCCGGAAAACTACACAGCAGCCACACTTTACGACTTTCTAACAGGTCCCGATTTTCCCGGTTCTCGGGTCATTGACCTGACCTGGAAGGTCAGGTCAATGACCCGAGAACCTATCCTGTTTCCTTGATCACTGCTGGTCCTCGATTGCGAGAGGAAAGCAGACTGACGCAGTCTATACTGACTACTCTTCAGCTTTCACAAGCGTGAACCACACCCTACTCCTGCACAAGCTGCATCACTCCTTTGGCATATCTGGTGTCGCCTATGACTGGCTCTGCTCCTATCTCAGGAACCGAACACAGCGAGTAGTCCTCAATGGGAAACGCTCACAGTGGATTCCTGTCCAGTCGGGCGTCCCAGAGGGCAGCATCCTGGGCCCCTTACTGTTTGCGTGCTATGTGGCCGATATACCTCACCACATTGAGACCAACTGCATTGCTTATGCTGATGATCTCAAGCTTTACCACCGCATCAGCAGTCCCGCCGATGTCCTTTCCCTGCAGGCTGACCTTGACCGCCTCCACCTCTGGTCGAACACGTGGAGACTTCGTCTTAACCCATCTAAGTGTAAATTCATTTCTTTTACCCTTCGTACGTCACCTGTTGACGCTGTGTACAACTTGGATGGCCATTCGCTTGAAAGGTGTAGTCAGATCCGTGATCTAGGCGTAATATTAGACTCCAAGCTCACGTTTTGTCATCATGTCGATTACACCATGTCAAAGGCTAATCGGATGCTTGGGCTTCTCATGAGGAGCATGCAGATGCCGGACTGTCCTCGTGCGGCACGCTTCGAGTACAAAGCGATGTTGAGCGTTTTTAACGCGCATGTCAGGTCCGTCCTCCAGTACGGTAGCGTGGTTTGGAGTGGGGCCGCCGTAACCCATCTTGCACGATTGGAACGGCTACAGCACCGCTTCCTTATGTGGCTAGCGGTGAAGACCCAGAGACGCTGTCCCTCTCTAGACTATCGTGCCTTACTGCAGCATTTTAACACTGATTCCATTAAAGCTCGCCTCGTTCATGCCGATATCATGTTATTGTACAGTGTGCTTCACCATCGTATTGACAGTGCTCACCTGGTCTCCATGTTTGGTTTGAGTGTACCGGGGAGGCG